CTTAGTCCTATCCTGGTTCTCTTTCTCTGCAGTTCCTTCTGACTGAGAACTAACTCTGGCACATCTGTCTTTCTCTTTTCATAGCTATAGTCCTAGGATTCAGTTCAGATATGACTGAATTCAATCATTCTGAATGCTGAGATTTAATTTCTCAATAAGGTATGAATAAGTTGATCAATACTCAAGTTTAGGGTACTGGTCAACCCAGTTAGTTAAGTGGGACTCAGGAACCCCAAAGCTCCCAAGATGTCCCTGGTAATCACAATAAGGTGTTAATGGCTAAGCCCATACCTTTGTCATTGTTTAGTTGTTTTCAGTCATGTCTGACTATTCATGATCCCTTTTGGGGTTTTCAGTCATCCAAATTCCAGATGCTTTTTATTTTAGCCTCATTAAGCTGTTTGTGTTTATTCCTGGTCACATCCTTTATAGGGGGATGCCAAATTGATTGAATCATCATAATCAAAGAGTAGTCATTCATAGTTCAATGTTAACTTGGAAGGAAATCTCTACTTAGGTCTGTCCTGTTTTACATCTTTACCAATGACTTGGATAAGGCATGAGTCAATCTTTGTGTGTAAGAGTTTATGTTTATCCCTATTAAAATGTATATACATATATGTGTGTGTTTATATACATATATATGTATATATATACACATGTATAAGTATCACAAAGTAGATAACAAAAGTGACTAATAATGTAATGTCAAGTGAAGTAAGGAAGATAAGAATGGGATGGGGATGAATTACAAATAGTTAAGAGAGGTGTGTGATAATCTGGATTGTACAGAAAGAGTTAATGTAGCATTTAAGAGGAAGTATGAAGAGTTTCTGGGGGTGCAATATGGGTGCAAAAGTGTAGGAGCCAATGAATAAATCAGCCTTGCCATACAAGAGGATATGTGTTGAGAAAAAGTGAAAAATAAGCTTATAGAAGTATATGGTGGGGATTACGGTGTGAATGGGACACTGGCCTTCGAAATGAAAGAAGTTTTGATTCTAAGATATGGGAAGTGAGAGAGAGATAAATTAAAGATAGCTTCATAATTTTGATCCTAGGGAGAAAGGATAGCTGTGACCTCAAGGAGGTTATTGATAAAAAGAAAAGTCTCATATGTATAAGACTATCCATAGCAGCATTATTTGTGACAGTAAAAATCTGTAAACAAAATATGTTCCCAATGATTGGAGAATGGTGGAATAAATCATGATATAGGAATGTAATGGAATATAATTGGGATATAAGGAAAGACCAATATAAACAATTCAGAGAAACATGAGAAGACTCACGTGAAGTGATACAGAGTAAAATGAGTATAGCCAAAAGAATAATATATACAACTACAGTACCAAAAAGACAACATGGAGAGAAAAGTCTTTTAAAAAGAAAAAAAATGCTGGGGGAAGAAAGTTTCAGAGATAGGAGAAAAGTTTGCAAATGCATCCCATTCCACAGGGGAATTTAAGAGAAAACAACAACAACAAAACAAATGTAAGGTTTGTTTCCTTCTTTAAATTACAGAAGACTCTAAAAAGTAGAAAGAGTGAAGGGGTAAGAACTAGGAGCTGGAAGCCAACTTGTTCTGTTTATCTAGACCCAAAGTTGTCTCTAGACTCATCGTCTCTACTGTTATACCAGTTTTGGTCTCTGTGAGATTTCCCCTTCCATCACCACAATTTCATGACAGTGCCATTCCCAAGTTTGAGAAAGATAGGTAAAAGTAAAAGAAAAATACCTCTAAGCTTCATAATCATAAAAAGAAAACATACCAGGCTGACAGGTCTTTCTATGTAGGATTACAGAATGTATCTGTTCAAACTCAGAGCAGTAGCATTATAATGCATACATCAGATTCCTTTAGATGGAATGAAACATGAACCTGGGAGATATGAATAACTATTCCTCTATTCCTACCAGTTTCATATCCAGAACAGCATGAGGATTGTGATAGTGTCTCAAATCCATCTGAAGGAAAAGACTTATCAAAGACTTGAATAGTAACAACTCTATAATATAAAAGCTACAAAGCCAAAATTACAGATGAACATCAACTAACATTCAAACATGATGACTTTGTTGTTAGACTAGAAATCCATTTCTGTTGCTGAAAGTGTGAAAAATAAAGGCTTTGGGGGAGTAGTTTAACTTTAGCATTCAATGCTAGGGAAAGACCTGCAGCAGATTCATCAGGATGGAGAAGAGAGAAAGGAAAGGTGGGAGAAAAGCATCTCATACACTTCTGTAAAGAAAATGTTTTATTTAAAGTGTTAATTACCATTACCAGAATGAATTTGATTTACATTAGTTGGCATTCAGTATAGGCCTAATCTGCCCTTTTGTTCCAACTGGGATTCCCTTTATGTTTAAAACATATTATGTACAAGACAGCAATGGTCACTGGAATAGTCCTATTTACATGACTAAATCATAGGTAGAATTGCAGACATGAAAATTAAAAAAAAATACATCAACCTTTAAATAAATACTGCATAATGACAAATATGTACAAATATTCCATATGGTCATGTCCTTCTTATTAAAATTAGAAATAATTTATATAGGAATATGCACAAAAGATTACTTGACTGTATCTCAGTATCAGGAAAATGGTAATAGGTTTTTTTTTTAAATTCTAATGGATATAATGGACTGCATGTCTCTTTAATCAATTGTTGCTGGTACATAGGTATCTAAATTATTTCAATATACATAGTTTAATTGGTTTCTTCAACAACTTAATATCGATCCATTGTACATCTCAGAATGTCAAGACATAGTCTTGGTGAATTTCATATTGCACCACATAAAGAAGGCATTTTTAGTGATACTCCTTGTAACTTCCGTACCCTACCAGGCATGACTTTTTTCTAAATGGGCAGCGTTAGATTTTTGAACAAACAAAATATATAACTCTGTGTGCATGGCCTTAATTTAAAGGTAAATGAATGCTGTGTACACTTCCAAGAATGGTGCAAGATATTTTGATCTATCTGTATGTATGTTATGGACCCAGAACAGAAGGGCTTTCAGATGTTAGCTGAGTCCTATTTCCTTTAAACAGGACAATTGATCACAAGTTTGAACTTGCAGCAACATGCCCCTCTCCTTCTCTACCATGTTAATACTTGCTGCTTAAATTGAAAACAGGGGTTTTGATTAACTAGGATTTTACTTTGAGACATTTGGTGATGGCATCAATGAACAAGTAAACACATTCAACTTTCTTCAGAACAATTAGAAAATATACATGAAGTTTTTTCTGACATTTTCCCAGCAGGTTTTTGTGTATCATG